TCTCATCTGGTGTTATTTGAATTTAGCAAAGTGTTATGTAAATATACACATACCTATATAAATATCTATGACATTATATTTATTTCTATGTTTTTACTGTCTGGCATTACAAATATCAAGTTTGAAGTTAAAGATTGATTCACATCTTATTTTTACATACAATGTACTGGAAATACATAATTTCAGGTGAAAATAACTTTAAAATTTTGCTTATAGATTGCAGACTTAGTAAAGGTACATGAGAGTTCTGTATTTGAAGAACCTTGCAGAGCACTGATGAAGTACTTGCATTAGATTTCAACACTGAGTAATTATGAAAAATTTGAAAGCTGTGAACAGGCGTAACATCTTTGACCTTGTCTGGAGTTTGGCCTTCTCTGTGGAGTGCAGGACTCAATTCTATAGAAAGAGTTTGCTCACTCTTTTATTATGTTCTCTTTTTATTGCTAGCATCATTCTTCATTCAAATGGGGAATAGTATCTTGAAATTAATGCAGGGTTATTGTAACAGGATTGACTGAAAGCAGCTGAGAGGCTGTATACATACACCCTTTAAATTGTGCTGTTCAGCTGTTTTTTCTCTTCTTCATTCATTTACCTTCCCTCACTTTCTGCTTAGGAAATGTACCCAGCTAAGCATGCAGGCAAACACAAATACCTCTGTGCCTTCCAAAGTAAAAGTGAAACTTGCATTTAGTAGGTTGCATAATTGCAAGTATATAAAATGTACATGAAATCCTATACTGATTTCTGTGTCATTTTGGCATGTCCCAATTTAATTGTCATTCACAGCCTGTTGTAGAGAACCATATTTGTTCCAGAATGTTTGATATCCATCGTAGTTTGAATTTAGAGACACAGTATTGTAAGGAAATTTTCCTCATAAATATGATTTTGAAATGTTAATATTTTTATGAAATAGAAATGTTTGTACTGGATCTGTGGTCCTTTGTGGCTTCTGGTGTTTTCTACCTTCCATGTTTTCACATCCTAAATCTGAGGCAGATGAAGATATTTTCACTTTAAAATATTATTTTCCTTAGAAGAAATAGGCACAAATGAGGTCAGGGGAAGTTGATAGGAATCTTCTGTGTCTGCAAACATAACCCAATCCACTGAGCGCTACTGAGAATCTTCTTTCTGTGTGGCATGTTAGGATTTCTTCTGTTGACAGGTGAATATGTTATCAGGTATGTATTCCATAATGACATCTTAAAGTTTTTTAAAAACTCCATGATTAAATAACATTTTCATCTCTGAAAATTGTAAGATCAAATTTTAATGCCTAAGTTTAACTCAAGATTCTTCTATTCTCACCTTTAAAGTTGAATCAGTACTTCAGGTATCATTTTTCTTGAATTTCTTTTCTGCATATAGAATTCTTTTTAAATCTGTGAGGATGGTACGTGAAAAGGGAGGACAAAACACCATTGCTTTTTTCAGCTGCTTTTGCAACTTTAAAAGAAATTTTAAAACACTGACAGTTTGACATGTATTTGATATGTATCTGAGAATTGAAATATTTAACTCTGTTGTTAATTTATTCTTTTATTTGGAAACCCAACAGCATTTGAAAGGTTTGATATTATCTATCTCTTTTTCAGTCAAGGTGCTTACTATTCATCTGTATTCTGGGGGTTCTAAATACCTGGACCTCTTCATAACTGGTGTAACACTTCTGTGAGCTGACTGACAGCATTTTCAGGCTAATCAGAACAATAAAATGCACTTGAGCCTTACTGTACTTTGAAAGCTTGGTCCTTCATACCAAATAGTACATTGGCTAAGTGCAAACCAGAATTTTTTAGGTAATACATGTATGCATACCTACCTACCTACCTAACTTGGCCTTCCTGTATCAATTCACATATCAAATATGCAAAGTTTGCAGAATGACGACAGGTAAAAGGAAGTGTATCTGCTCATGATGCATACATTAGATTCACTGAGTGTGTTTCTTTAGCTTAACTCAACACTATTTAAGTTTATTTGTCTTTAATAGTATTGCAGTAGAGGTAAGAATTCTACATAAGTATGGTGGCTTGGCCTTGGCCATCTGCCAGACCCAACTGCTCTCTAACTCTGCCTCCTCAACAGGACAATGAGAGAAAATGAGGTGAAAAAGTTAGTGAGTTGAGATAAAGATGGGGAGATCCCTTACCAATTACTGGCACTGGCAAACCAGCTCAGCTTGGGGAAAATTAATTTCATTTATTGCCAGTTAAAAGTAGAGTAGGATGGTGAGAAACAAAGACAAAGCTAAACCACCTTGCCCTGCCCACCTCTTCCCAGGCTCGACACCTCTCCTTCATTCCCAACTCCTTTATCTTCTCCCCCATGAGTCATGCAGAAGATATGGGGAATGGGAGTCTGTCCACCACAGTTCCTCTCTGCTACTCCTTCCTCCTCATGCTTTTCCATTGTTCCGGTGTGGGTCCTCTTCATGGTCTGCAGCCCTTCAGGCTAAACCTGCTCCAGCATGGGTCCTCCATGGGCATTAGTTCTTGTAAGTAGAATCTGCTCCAGTGAGGTCCTCTCCATGGGCTTCAGGGAAATATCTCCTTCACCATGCTCCATGGGCTGCAGGGAAATCTCTGCTCCAGTGCCTGGAGTACCTCCTCCCCCTTCTCTCACTTTAGCATTTCCAGGGTTGTTTCTCACACTTTTTTCCCCCTACTCCTCACTTCCTGGGCAGCATTTTGCCCTTCCTTAAATATGCTCTCACAGGAGCACCACCAACTTCACTGATGAGCTCAGCTATGTCCTGCAGTGGGTCCACTGCAGAGCAGTCCCAGATCTCTTCTTGCAGATACAACCACTGCAGCCCCCGCCCCCAGTACCAAAACCTTGTCACCAACACCCAATACAGTAAGATGGAGGGAAAGAACGTAAAGGGATGAAAAACAGGTCCACAAATACGGAAATTTCTTTTGTTTTTTTTCTTACTATGGTTAATTTCTTTGTTTCTTTTAGTATCAGCTCAGCTAGAATAATACTAATTTATGGTTATCACTTTCCTAAACAAATGACTGGAGGAATTTTCTGAAAGACAGACTGAATTCGTTGGGAGGAGGATGTAGAGTGTTTTTTCAGTCTCTAAAAACATATGCCAAGAGGGACTTGGGGGTACTGATGGACAAAAGGCTGGACATGAGCCAGCAATGTGCGCTGGCAGCCCAGAAGGCCAACCGTACCCTGGGCTGCATCAAGAGAAGCGTGGCCAGCAGGTCGAGGGAGGGGATTCTGCCCCTCTACTCTGCTCTGGTGAGAACTCACCTGGAGTTCTGTGTCCAGCTCTGGAGCCCTCAGCACGAGAAGGACATGGAAGTGTTGGAGCGGGTCCAGAGGAGGGCCTCAAAAATGATCCGGGGGTGGAGCACCTCTCCTGTGAGGACAGGCTGAGAGAGTTGGGCTTGTTCAGCCTGGAGAAGAGAAGGCTGCGGGGAGACCTGATTACGGCCTTTCAGTACCTAAAGGGGACTTATAGGAAAGAGGGGGAAAATCTTTTTAGGAGGGCCAGCTGTGACAGGACAAGAGTTAATGGTTTTAAACTAAACCAGGGTAGATTTAGACTAGATAGATATAAGGAAGAAATTCTTTACAATGAAGGTGGTGAAACACTGGAAGTGGTTGCCCAGAGACGTGGTGAAGGCCCCATCCCTGGAAACATTCAAGGCCAGGTTGGATGGGACTCTGAGCAACCTTATCTAGTTAATGGTGTCCCTGATCACTGTGAGGAGGGTGGACTAGATGACCTCTAGGAGTCCCTTCCAACCCAAAACAGTCTATGATTCTGTGATATACAGAGAGACCAGGCTTGTATTTCTAAACTCTTGAAAGGTGGAGAGGGGCAAAGAGCAGTGCAGATGAGTAATGGGGGTTTGGATGTGTATATAGTATGTAGTGTGCTGAAAATACTCTTCTTACATTAAGGAGGGCATTCTTTGCATACTTTTCCTTCTCACCTATTGAATTACCTACACATTTTTTAATAATCTAATTTTTAAAATCCTGCAAAATTATTTCCTCTTTCCTTACTGAACAGCCTTGTTTAGATTTGGACTATAGTTGAAGTGATGAGAAGTGCTTCTTCTGTCACTGAGATTGTGTCGTCTTTGTCATTATGGGTTATGTTTCTTTTTGAAAAGTTGCCTGTTTGCAACTTCTTGCATACTGCTACTCTCTACTAGTGACAAGTGCTGTTTGATTAAGTATTTATTTAGTAAATCAAAAGAAACAACATTTACTAAACAGTGTGAAGTGTTTCAGTACCATTGTTCTTGGGTGGCAAAATGAAGGCCTTGATTGTGCAACAACCAACACGTGCATTTAATTTTCAGCTCCTAGTAGACATCGCCTGGCTGCCTGTGCTACTCTGATATTTGCTGGGTTTTGCTTTTCAGATTTTCACCATGAGATATCTTTCTGCATCTTTGTGCAGTTTCTCATGTAGTTTTGTATCCTACATTGATCTCTATTGGTGCCTAAAGCTTGAAGAAAGCTTGGGTAGTTCTACAGAAGATATAATATCACCCTGTCTGAAGCACGGAAATGCTCTAAGGCGGGCTTAACATTGCATCTTAGAAAGTATTTTCAATTTTTATTTTAGATATCCATTCTGGAAACATTTTTTTAAATTTGTCTCAATTCTATGAACTTAGAGAGTAAGTAATTGATTTTGAAGGGACAAGGATTAATTGTTCCAGAGTTTTGTTTTATCAGAAATGACAGTTAAAGAAAATATGAGGAACTCTTAGTAAATAATATGTGGAGATTCAGTTTCATGTACAGTTTTTAAAATAGTGCATGAAAAAATTCTTTTTGTCTTAACCAGAGTTATGTTTCACTTCGTAGTGATGTAGTAATGTAATTTTCTGAAACGGCCTCTTTATTTTCTTAGTGGTCATTGGGAGCTCTGAAAACTATGGTATTTTAAAATGGAATTATAACAAGGTTTGTTAATGATGTACTAAAGTTAACCTTATATTTTATTATTTCAGTTGTTCATGGTGGACAATGGAGCAGATGACTGGAGAATAGCCATGACTTATGAGCGTATTTTCTTTATCTGCTTGGAAATACTGGTGTGTGCTATACATCCCATACCTGGGAACTATACATTCACATGGACAGCCCGGCTCGCCTTTTCTTACACTCCATCCACAACAACAGCTGATGTGGATATTATTTTATCTATACCAATGTTCTTAAGACTATATCTTATTGCCAGAGTTATGCTTTTGCATAGCAAACTTTTCACTGATGCCTCATCTAGAAGCATTGGAGCATTAAATAAGATAAACTTCAATACCCGTTTTGTTATGAAGACTCTAATGACAATATGCCCAGGAACGGTACTGTTGGTTTTTAGTATCTCATTATGGATAATTGCTGCATGGACTGTCCGAGCTTGTGAAAGGTAAGGTTGTTCTGTTTGTTTAGTTCTTCCTGTCTCTCTGTCTATTTTTCTCTCTTGTTTTGCCTCTTCTGTTTTGGATGCAGGGGACCTAAATATTTAATGTAATGGAGCTTCCAGGTCCTTGATATTTTGAGTGTTGATTGCGTTGTAGTATGTGTCACAGATTATCAGGAATGCTTTGCATTTTAATCTGAAGTACTTCTGCAGACAGCAATGCTGTGATTTGGTTTTAGTGTTATAACTTTAGGTATGTTTGCTAAAACACAGTGGACACATGCCATAAAATGTCATTATGCGTAGCTGTGGATATTCTGCATTGATACTGGCTTTCATTTATGTCATTTCTAAGTTAAATTTATTGAGGGTAAGGTAGATAAAGTGGCCAACTAAAATTCCAGTGGAAAATGTTTGCGTGTTTTTTTAATTTGAGTTTTCTTGTCCTGTAAACAAAAAAGGAAGTGCAAATTATTGTTGAGGAGTTGGCAAGATCAAAAAAGAGAAACAGACAGAACAATTACAGTAATAACTCTTTTTTTTCTTCCCCTGAAAATCAGAAAAACTGCATTTAAGAGGCAGACTTCTGTTCAGTTCAGCTAGTTTTCCAACCTCCCCCTCCCACAGGCTTCACTGTAGGTGCAGAATAAATGGCTATCAGTGCTGACAGCTTGAAATTGAATTTCTCAAACATAGCTTTAAAAAAAAAAGAAATGAGCTTCTGATTGGATAGAATTGCTTAGGAATATAAGATAGGTTAACTCTAAGGAGGCAATTAGGATGATTCTGTATTTAATGCTTGGCACAGCTCTTAGATCCTGGTATTAATTTCCCCTTACTTAAGCTGGAAGATCCTCAATACATTTCTGGCATTTCTGCTGCTGGTTGTTGACCATTTTGCTTTTTCTCTTCCTTTCCATGTCTGCCCATTTTAGAAGCATCTTAGTGGAGTTATTTGTGACAGCTAGCTGATTTAAATCAGCAGTTATATTGCGCACCAACTGCTATGGTTATATTACTTTTGGAAGTTACTCCTTGCATTACTTCTCAATTTGTTACAAAGAATAATAGCTGATCTTATAAACTGAGTGTAGAGATCATGTTGATGACATAGTTTTTGTTGTTAAAATTGCCAGTATTGTGGAATGTAGTTTGTTACTGTAGATGCTGTGTGCCAGTGTTGTTTCCTCATGTTATGGGAAGGACTAATCATTTAAGAGTGTTCTGAAAATGCTACGTTAACAGTGACTTATTATAGTTTCAAAATATTCCCCATAGTGGGAACAGATGGAGCACTCTAGATGCCGACTAAATCTATAATAGTTGTATTTTAGTAAGCATGCTCTCGTTTCAGATGTAACTGACTTTTGCAAAGCCTCTCCTCTTTGTTTCACATTCTTCGCCTCTGTGCACACCAGTTTTCTTTCAACAGAATTACTGCTCAGGAATTCCTGGGTGTCTTCTCAGGCATTTCCCAAATTGTCACCTGTGAAGTGGCTCTGAATAACTCCAGCATCCATTGCCATTGCTGTTTTACACACCACTAGTTAATAATCTGTATTATTATTGCTATTATTAAAAACTAGCATTAAAAATTCAGTGTCTTATTAACTTTTTAAATAGATGCACATTCAAAATAAGCTTATAAAACTTGTGCCTCTCAGTGACAGTTACTGAAAGAGCTGAGGCACTTCTGCATCACTGTGATCTGGCGAATACGCTTATTTGTTTGGTCAGGTACACTGAACTCGGGGTTGCGAACAAGGCTGAATTTTTTTCAAATGTCAGCTAAACTAGTAATGGATTTTCCACATTTTAATTAGCAGTTGCTATCCTTGAAGTGACTGTAACGGTTTGGACAGTAAGCTGGATAGCCACTGGCTCTTCTAAAACTAAAACAAAACACAACTAAAAGCAAGTTAAGCATAGAAGTGAGTATTAGATTAATACATCTGTAGCACAGTGACCTTCTGTCACTGTGGTCCAGTCCGAGATTACGTTCCTTCACATATAACAAAATTGTTAGTTTTATGTTTCAAAAACTTAAAAGGGATATATTTTGGCTTTGGGAATTAGATACTTGTGTCATTCATGCTAGTTGTACAGTCAGTTTTGCGTGTTTTGCATCAGATTTTCCCTGGCTCTGGATTCCAGTTACTACTCAGGTCACCACAAACCTGTAGAACCATAGCCCATAGAGAAGCACATTTTTAAACAAAGCTCCCAGAAGAAAACTCCAAAACCCCACACATCAGAATGCTCTTAACAGTCTGCTATCTGAAGCTAAACATCCCTTTCTGTATAGCTGTAGACAGATATAATAGCCATTTGTCATGGGAAAGGACAAATATGGCCACTGAATCCATTTTGTGCTATTTAGAGGTCATAGTCCTCAGAAGATGCCTCCCAAGATCTTAACGGCTTTGATTTGTTCAGTAGTTAAAAGTTGAGCTTACACAAATAAAATACATTTCATTCATCTGCTCTTAAGTTGATTTTTTGTTTCTCAGTTTTAACTAGAGGGACCCTTTATTTGTTGGAATAGACTATTTTATGTACACAAAATGATCCTGAAAATAAATGTTTTCATTAGAAGGAGTATTTTGCTTGGCACTATACATAAAAACCTAATGAATTTTGATACATTTAGCAGAAATTAGGAATTAGGCAGCAGTCTGGTGGCTTTTTTTTTTGATGAGGGGAGATTTACACGAATGAAATCTGATGGTGGTAAATGGTTCTCAGCATCACTCTAGCACCAAGCTCTTTAATTTATGCTATATAGTAGTTTTACATAAAGCTTTGCACTAGTGGTCTTAATATTTCTTCAGTGTATTAAATCAATTAGCTGGCCATCCAAATTGGAACAAGATAATAGTGATAAGATTTAATAGGATAAAATATTAAAATTTTGGAATGGAGATGAAACATTCTCATGTTACACCATGTCCTCAGTGAGGGGGAGAGTTGCAGCAGGCAGTGTCCTTGCTGCGAAGTTGTGTGTGCTCAGCAAAAACTGTTGTTGCTGAGTGACAGCCTGATTTTGAGATTGTTGTTCTATTTGAAGTCATATTTTTCCCATTTCAGGCTGTCCTGGGAATAGGAATGGAGATTTGGAAGTACCGCATTTCATAGCGAGGAAGGTAACATGAAAGAGCATCATTATCCATCTCTCTAAGGAGAAACCTGTAGAGACAGGTTGTGGGTTGAGGCAGGAGAGTTGACCGTCTGAATAAAGACTTCACTGCTTTAATAGTCATCTCACTGATCACTTGATATACACTGAACTAAGGCAGGACATGTGCCTTTCTCAATGCCTTAATGGCTGCATTGTGAGCTCCCAGAATGCTAATTATAGCAAGTGACACTTTGGGTTGGTGAGCAAGGTATTTTCCAGGATTGCAGTTTAAGGTCATCCATGAGGGCAGAGTGTAGTACAGATAATGATGGTGGACAGCCAGCTGGGTATAAATGGGTTGCTAGGGCTGCAGAGTAATCTGGCTGAGGGAGTCTGGGAGGAAAAGGTGGGGAAGGCACAGAAGTGTTGCTGCATACACGATGCCAGAAACTCTTGCTTTTTTATCACTCAGGTTTTTATGTCTGCTTTAAGGGGAAGATTACATTACATAGGTTTTAATATCTGCCTTTCCATTCCCAGCACCAGTATGTTGCTGTCTGTCATACATGGGCTTCATAATGAAAATCTAAATTTTTTACTAGGTCTAACCCAATAGATGTTTGTGTTTATGACAGCTCTGAGTCACACGATCTATAACACTTATGAATACGTTACTCCCATGTATGAATTATGAGCCCTGTAAGCAGATTACATTTTGCAGTCTCCCATACTGATCTTGTTACTGAAATAGCTCTGCACATGCTCATCAGTTGTTTATAGCAGTTAAAATAGAAATACTTGCTTTCTCAAAAAAAAAAAAAGTTAATATGCATAGCATTATGTCGTTGAAAAGTCTGATAAATTTGCTTCTCTCTTCTGGAAGAAGACCTGTATCTGCTGTGAGAAGTGTGCTGTTTTTTCTAGGTTATGTATAAGGTAGTTGCTTTTGTTGGTCTTTTCTTTTTTATGTGCAAAGGAAGAAAGAACCTTGCCTTCTGAATGCATGTATGGCTATAATGTGCCCATGTATTAGGGCAACATGAGCTGCATGTGCCCACGTTACACTGTTGTACGTCCAGAACAGCTCATATCACATGCCTGGAGTTACTGGGGATTTACAGCAGCAGAACTGAGAACAGAAGTGGATTTTCTGCTTCCCCAGAGAGCACATTTTTGGCACCATTTTTGGTTCTGTTTGTACCTCTCTCTAACTTCTGGCAATGAAGTCAGTTCAGATTGAGCGGTTTGTTTAGTCAACATTTCTTCCTCCCATCGGATTCTGCTGTGTATTCTTCCCTTGATTTAACAAAAAAGCAAAAAAAAAGCAAAAAAACCAGCAACAAAAAAATCTGTCTGTGTGTGAAGGTGAAATCCTTTTCCTCTCTCTGCATATTCATGTTTTCTACAAATAAATAAATATCTGTCTTAATTCTTGGAAATATGATTCCATCACAGAGCTTTCAGTAAGCAGCTCACGCATGACAACTGCTAGGCAGAAGTTAAGAATTCATTTGATACAAGCAGGTGGATGCACCAAGACTTTCAGTTGTAATTCGTGCAGGAAAAAAATGTTTCTTAGCTATCTAATTTCCTCACAGTATGTGTTTGGCTTCTTTGGTTGGCTTGAGGACCTTATCTGAAGTTGTATGCAGCACATATAATCCCAAGGCCACACTCCACTGGAAATTGCCTTTAACAGTCTCTCCAGTGCCAGTGTGAAGATTCTTGCTAGTGGTTTAAGAAAAAAAGAAAATAACTGAGCTTGGGTATTTAGTATTAAACCCATTTTTAGCCCCAAAAGCTCAGAAGCCATGACGTATTTTTTTTTTTTTTTTCTAGCTAATATGTCTAATTACCGTCAACTGATCAAATAATGTTTGTGTATTGA